CCTTCTGTTCATAACTTACCACTGTAAAACCTCTCAGTTCAATGACAGATGCACAGGTGTTATCTTCTGGGTGCATGGTTTCATTTAAGCAGTCTGGTGTTGAATTGGATAATAGATAGCATTTTCAAAGTTTAGTGGTTTAATAACAAATATTGTTGTGTACCCACCTAGTCTCCAGAAGCTGTGTTAAATTCAGGGGAAGTTTTAGATACTCTGAAAATTGGATGACTATTAGCTAGTAGTAGTAACTCCTGATGCATAGTCATACCTGACAAGCTTGAAAGACTGCATCATAGTTTGTCCCTGCTCTTTTTCCATTGCTTCCAAGTTGTGTGCCTGTGGTGTGTCCAGGGGCATTAGCAGGAGTTAGACAAGTTTGAGGGAGGGAGTGGCTCTTGCGGCAGGCAAGAAGATGGGATTATTTTGGTGTGTAAGGATGGGGATATAATCCTAAACAAAGCTGTGGAAGAAAGCATAAGCATATCATGAAGATTCTTTGAGTGACATAAGAAAGGAGTAAGCAAAAAACATCAGAAGCAAAATTAAAGGATTTTTGCCCTGAAGGCAGAGATCTGAAGTTGATGTAGAAGGCAAAGGGGGTGGAAGGAGCTGACTTCGATAAGTCATGGGCCTGTCAGGCTACTCTGAGGAGCAGCATTTTGAGAAGTTGGAGGTTAGCAAGATTAGGGAAGAACCGACATGAGGAAAAACAGCTGCTTTAATGACAGAAGGAGCGTTTTCTGAAAGTGGGGTAAAGGGACTAGCTAAGAATTGGTGGAGCCCATAGTTCCTGGGGAAGGTGGTTGCTTCCAGTGGTGCAAGAAGGGAATGGAAAAGTTGCCAGTGTGATAAGGATGAGTAGCTGAGTTTGACAGTGGCAGTTTGGCCAGTCCCTTGTGTCTCATGAGCTGAAGTGCATATGGGGGTAGGCTGTAGATACACATAGATGTGGTAGCTGAAAACCTAAAAGTGAAAATATTACCACAGAAGGGATAGAGGAATGGAAGGACATGAGGAGAACTGGGAGTGGTTTCTTGACTTTTTTTTTTCCTAACTAGATCATTTTCTCTTCCAGCTAAATGAAAATGACGGACATAAAAAAGATCTCCCTCCACAGCATATTCAGTGTTTTGCATGCCCAAACTGCTTCCTCCTTTTCACCAACAGAGATGAATGCTTGCAGCATATGTCAGGGAAGAACCACTTCCTCCAGGTTTCTAAATTGAGTGGTATGTTGCTACTAAGTGTACTGTTTTTCATTCCTTCTGATAATTGATCCTTATGGTATGAAGTGACTTAAGTTTTTCTGCTGTGTAAAAAAAGCTTAAGGTTTTTAAGTTTGTTTTTAATGAATTCTTATTTTTCTTTTAAGGTCTTAAATGTGATACAGTTCTGTAAGAGGAGATGCTTTGAAATTCATATTTTTGTGTAGAAACGATTCCTCTGTCACAGTTGCTGTAATGAGAAGCAGACTTTCCTTTGTGTCTCATACAAGCCTCTCATCCTCCAGTGACTCTGTGCAACAACTGTCCTAAATAAGTTTACATTTAGCATGTTGATAGGAACTTGGACCAAAACATGTACATCTCTTTTTCAATTCTAGTCAGACTGGCTGTGATGTTCCTTCCCCTTACTGTACTGTCTGAAGTCTGCT